CTAGAGCTCTGTAAGTGAGTAGGCACAGGGATGGCTACATGATGTCATTAACTCACCTCGTTCAGAAATTAGCAAATTTTGATGCCATTTCTTCTTTCTTCTGAAATAGCACAGAGGAAAATTCTACTACTGAAGTCTTCAAATGATAGGCGGTCTGCTAAAAGACAGGAACATTGAATGCTGATCCAGAATCCTCAGCTTCCTTCACAGCAGTATTCTCACACACCACACTTCCTGGTGAATCTGAAGGTGCCAGAAAACAAACTATGGCGCAGGCTTGTTTTCTCTTGGGGTATACCACCCTGGCCAGGTTCTTCCAGATGAGAAACAGAAGAGATATAACTCCCTGATAAAGCCAATAAATTTGAAAAACTAAAGAATCTTCCCAGGGGTCCTATTTACAGCTCTAGTATCATAGGAGAAAAGGCTTTCTGTATTAGTCACAAAGCAACTGAGAACAAGAATCCAATTCACACTTTAGGTCTGGCACCCTAATAAATCTCAGCTCTACCATTTTTGACTGGCACAGTTATTTTAATGAAATTGCTCTCTGAACATTGGATTCTTCATCTCTAAAAGATTTTCATGAGAATTAAATTCAATAAATTATGCAGTTTATCATACAAAGTCTTGGTCCAGATAGACCAACCCCTCAAGAAAACATAGCTCACTGTGTTTAACCCGGAAAGGAAGCAGGCCAAGATCTCCCTTCCACAGAGAATGCTAGAAATGCTAACAAAATATATCTGAACTTCATAATAACAAATGGAAAAATGTGCAAAGATATATAGCTTGAAATAACATCTCTTCTTAGTTCAGAAGAGAAATACTTTTTAAAAAAATATCTAGATGAAGGCCAGCATAATAGCTCAGTGGTCTAAAGCACCTGCTTAGGCAAGCTTAGGCAGACGTGCTAGGACCATGGTTCAATCCCTGGCACTGCAGACTATGCCAGCCCTACCACTTATATATACATGAGCTAACGATAGGACTTTGCATGCTTTCTAAACTTACAGAGATACAGAGAAGATGAGCATGGCCTCTGTGTCAGGACAATATGCAAATTTGTGAATCATTCCATATTTTTATATAGATTCAATGCAATCCTAATTAAAATATTATTAATATACCTCACAGAGTTAGAGAAAACATTCCTAAAGTTCAGCTGAAAGCAGAAGAGACACAGATTCTCAAAAGAAATCCCGGGAAACAAAGGAAAGGCAGGTGACATCATAATCCCTGACTTGAAATTATATTATAAAGCTACTGTATTAAAATCAGCATGGTGCTGGCATAAGGATACACTTGAAGATCAAAGGAACTATTAGAAGACACAGACACAACTACAAGCACACTTAGCCACCTTAACTTTGACAAAGGGGCCAAGATAAAGACAGTCTCTTTAATAAATGGTGCTGGAAGAACTGGCTTTCCACATGCTGAAAACTAAAACTAGATCCTGGTTTATCACCATGCACTAAACTAAAGTCAAAATGGATCAAAGATTTAAACATTAAAAAACAAACACTAAGGGGCTGGGGAGATGGCTCAGTGGAATAAGAGCTTCCCT